AAAAAAAAAAAAAAAAAAAAAAAAGTAGAAGAAAAAACAGATTCCTTTTATGAGGATTTCCACTTGGTGAATGTTTCTGCAGCTTCTGGAATTCTGCTTAAAATGTGTTTCTCGAATTTGCCTTTTTTTGGTTTTTGACTTGTACCACCACTTGAGACAGCTTTATTTGGCCTAGGATCTGAAGAGAAGCTGCTCCGCATCCTGAAGGATCAATTCTTTGGCTTTAGACATCTGCTCACACCTATAATCCCAGCATTTTGGGAGGCTGAGGTGGGCCATCACTTGAGGTCAGGAGTTTGAGGCCAGCTTGGTCAACCTGGTGAAACCCCATCTCTATTAAAGATACAAAAATTCACTGGGCATAGTGGTGCATGCCTGTAGTCCCAGCTACTTGGGAGGCTGAGGCAAGAGGAAAAACCTGGAAGGCAGAGGTTGCAGTGAGCCCAGATCACACCACTATACTCCAGCCTGGGCAGTAAGAGTGAGACTTTGTTAGAAAAGAAAAGAAAAGGAAAGAGAGAGAGAGAGAGAGAGAGAGAGAGAAAGAAATAAAGAAAGACAAAGTTATCTATGGAATTATAATTACAGATGTCAGTTGTGATCTTTTTGTTTGTTGGTTTTTTGAGACAGGGCCTCACTCCAATCACCCAGGCTGGACTGCAGTGGCACTCTTGGCTCATTGAAGCCTCAACTTCGCAGGCTCAGGTGATCCTTCCACCTCAGCCTTATGAATAGCTGGGACTACAGGCATGTGCCCCCATGCCCAGCTAATTTTTTGCAGAGACTGGGTTTCGCCATGTTGTCCAGGCTGGTCTTGAACTCCTGGACTCAAGTGATCCACCGTGCCTGAGATAGTTGTGATCTTACATTAGAGAACACCTATTATGTACCAGGCACTGGGATTTAAGAATGAGAGGTGAGGCCGGGTGTGGTGCTCAAGCCTGTAATCTCAGCACTTTGGGAGACTGACGTGGGCAGATCTGCTGATGTCAGGAGTTCAAGATCAGCCTGGCCAACATGCCAAAAACCCATCTATACTAAAAATATAAAAATTAGCTGGGCATAGCGGTGGATATCTATAATCCCAGCTACTTGAGAGGCTGAGGCAGGAGAATCCCTTGAACCCAGGAGGCAGAATTTGCAGCGAGCCAAGATTGTGCCACTGCACTCCAGCCTGGGAAACAAAGCGAGACTCCATCTCAAATGAAAAAAAAAAAAGAGAGGTGAACAAAAATAGACATGGTTTTTACTATTATGATTTTTAGAGGAGAAAACAGAATAATCACACAAATGGATATATATCTGCAGTGGAGAGGCCAGTGCTATGACAGCAGATGAAGGAGAGCTTAGGGAAGGTTTCCCTGAGCTGGGGCTTGAGCTGGCTGAGATCCAAGAAAGGCATCCATGTGGGGTGGGCCATATTTCTTCTCAGGCTTCTCAGGGTAACTGATGTCATCCAGGCCCTTTTCTGCCCCCAAATCCCCCTGGCCACTCCTCTAGGGACTCTGCATGATGATTAGTGTTTCTGCTTCAATACAAGAAAACAGGTCACCATCAAAAGCAGTGGTTCCCACACTTTTTTTTTTTTTTTTTTTGATACGAAGTTTTACTCATGTTGCCCAGGCTGGAATGCAGTGGTGAGAGCTCTGCTCACTGCAACCGAAGCCTCCCGAGTTCAAGTCATTCTCCTGCCTCAGTCTCCCAAGAACCTGGGATTACAGGCATGCACCATCATACCTGCCTAATTTTGTATTTTTAGTAAAAATGGGGTTTCACCATGTTGGTCAGGCTGGTCTCAAACTCCTGACCTCAGGTGATCCACCCGTCTTGGCCTCCCAAAGTATTGGGGTTACAGGTGTGAGCCACTGCAGCCGACCGGTTCCCACACTTTGATGAGCATCAGAATGGCCTAAGGAGCTTGGTAAGAAGTCAGACTTGGCCGAGCGCGGTGGCTCACTCCTGTAATCCCAGCATTTTGGGACGCCGAGGCCGGCGGATTGCTAGAACTCAAGAGTTTGTGACCAGTCTGGGCAACACAGTGAAACCCTGTTTCTACTAAAAAAAAAAAAAAAAAAAAAAAAAAAATTAGCTGGGCATGGCGGCGTGCGCCTGTAGTCCCAGCTACTCGGGAGGCTGAGGCAAGAGAATTGCTTGAACCCAGCAGGCAAAGGTTGCAGTGAGCCAAGATTGCGCCACTGAACTCCAGCCTAGGCGATAGAGCTAGACTCCATCTCAAAAAAAAAAGAAAGAAAAGTCAAAAGACTCCCTCCCTTTCTTGTCCATGGGCAGAAGTGGCCATTCAAGAGGTACTGCCCCAGGATTCCAGGCTGTGGGCAGAGAGCTGAGTCTCTGGAGGAGGGAGTCAGATGACTTGCCCCACAGAGAGTATCAGCGGAGGTTCACCAGACCCACCGTTGAGAGGGCACTTCCTACTCACTGTTGTGTTTGGAGTGCAAAGATCTGGCTGAAACGATGGCCCTGGAGAAGGGGTGATGGATTTGAGAGGCTGGAGGGATGAGGATGAGTCTAGATACTGAGCTCTCAAGCCCAGGAATGAAAACTAGGTTTGGGCTTGTTTTAGGCTATGCCGAGCTTAAATTCAGAGTCAGTGGATCAGAGCTGGCGAGGAAGGCTGAGGGTGAGATCAGGATGAAGGTTTGGGAGCCCTTGCCTAGAAGGAGGCAGTTTTTTTGAGACAGCCTCAGGAGAGCGCAAACCTTCAGGAGCACAGAGCTGCAGTCTTCTTTCGGAGACCCCATCGCAGAGAAGCGCGGAAAGCAGAGGCGGGGCGTGGCGGTGCAGGAGTGGGAGTGGTCTCTTCCGTTACATTTTTTCTTTTCTTTTTTTTTTTTTTGAGACGGAGTTTCGCTCTTGTTACCCAGGTTGGAGTGCAGTGGCGCTATCTCGGCTCAAAGCAACCTCCGCCTCCTGGGTTCAAGCTATTCTCCTGCCTCAGTCTCCCGAGTAGCTGGGATTACAGGCATCCGCCACCAGGTCCGGTTAATATTTTGTATTTTTAGTAGAGACGGGGTTTCGCCATGTTGGCCAGGCTGGTCTCGAACTCCTGACCTCAAATGATCCACCTGCCTCAGCCTCCCAAAGTGTTGGGATTACAGGCGTGAGCCACAACGCGCGGGCTCTTCGGGTTCTTGAAGAGAGCGTCCCTTAAGCAGGAGGGACAGGTCTTAGCACACTCAATCTCCAGGCTCGCGAGGCCCCTAGCAATTCGAACGCGGAGGGCTAGGCCACTACGGCGAGCCCACCCACCCGACACGTGCCTCGGAGTCTGGGTCAGTTACCCCGCCCCAGGCCCCCGCCCCCGCCCGATCCCTGGCCGGAAACTGAGCGGTTTACTTCCGCCACCAGCCGGAAGTCTCCTGCCACTGAACGCCAAGGAGTTTCCAGTGGCTCCGCTGTGTAACCGGGGCTTCCCTATGGCGGCTTCCTTGGTGGGGAAGAAGATCGTGTTTGTCACGGGGAACGCCAAGAAACTAGAGGAGGTGCCGGGAGGGTGTTGGGGGTTGACTGGGAGGCGGCTGGGAATAGGACGGAGAAGGGGCTTCTGGGCGAGGGAACCACGTGGGAGGAGGCATGGAGAGTGAACGGAATTCAGCCGAGAAGCGTGGGTCCCCACCCGATTGTGTGGAAAGGCTGAGGCTCAAAAAGGGAGCGGCTACGGAGCCAGGACGCACCGAGGTGGGCGAGGGAACGAGGTCCTTGACAGATCCCGATACAGGGCTTGTGTGGTCAGCGACAACCGGAGCTGGAGGAGTAGCGGGGCCTTTAGCAACCTCCCCCGAGGTCACCTATTGAACTAGACCCCAACCCTGGGTCCCGATGCTCTTCCTGGACTTATCCACCTCCTGCTGCTGGGCCAGGGCTAGAAGGACCCAGAAAGGGCGTAGGACGGAGTTCCACACTGAGCAGTCCATGCCTCACCACCGTCCTGAAATGTTCTAACCTCTTTTCGCATGTGTGAAATGAGGGTGATGCAGGACATTTGCTTCACAGCGCTATAGAGAAGAGGAGTAAAGGTGGCAGTGGATCCAAAGTTTCTGTTTGCAGGACTTTGTGGGTAGCAAGTAACACAGACACACAGGGAGCTCATGTAAGCCACCAGATGACTCTTGTGGGAATTTAGTGTTACCGTGTCCCACAGGACCTGAGGTTCCCTCAGGGAGCTGACCTGTCGTTCTCTCTGGATACTGATTCCTATTCCTGTTCAGATCTTTCATTTTTCTTCCCTGCTGGGGATGGAACAATGAGGCTTCTACAGGATATCAGCTCTGATTGGCCTTGCTTGAATTAAGGGTTTTCCTCTGTTCAATCAGCCATAGCCAGAGTGATGTGTGGGGAATCAGGATGACGCCCACTGGATATGTCTGAGGCAGACCCCGTGGGATGTAATCACTAGGGAAACCTACATTTGCCTGTAGCATAGGGAGGGACTGATGTCACTTCTGTGCCAGGACAGAGTGACCTTCTCAGGAACCAGAGCCTTCTGATGGAAAAAGGTTTGGGATCCTGAGGCCAGACCGGGATCAGGCAATGCCACCCAGAACAGAGCCATGCAGGACAGTGGGTATGAGACCCCAAACCTCTAGCCGAGAACATTGCCCTCCCTCCTTTAGAGGAGGAGCTGGGTGCAGTGCCTCAAGCCTGTAATCCTAACACTTTGGGAGGCTGAGGCGGGCAGATCATCTGAGATCAGGAGTTAAAGACCAGTCTGGCCAACATGGTTGAACTCCCTCTTTACTAAAAATACAAAAATTAGCTTGGCATGGTGGCACACGCCTGTAGTCCCAGCTACTCGGAGGCTGAGGCAGGAGAATTGCTTGAACCCAGGAGGTGGAAGTTGCAGTGAGCTGAGATGGTGCCTCTGCACTCTAACCTGGGTGACAGAGTGAGACTCCATCTCAAAAAAAAAAAAGAAGAAGGCACTAGAGTGGCCAAGGGAGGCTCCTTGGAGAACATGGACTTGAACTTGGCCTAGAACCGGTAGTCTTTTTTTTTTTTCTTTTTGAAACAGCATCTCACCCTGTTGCCCAGGCTGGAGTGCACAGGCCTCCTGAATTCTGGGTGTCTTCTGATACAAAATTCCTGGTCTAGGAAGATGGTTAGAGTTTCTGGGAGCATTGAGAAGGGAAGGGGGTGTTCTGGATGAGGGCTTAGCACAAGCAGAGACCTGAAGTAGGACAGATAGAGAAGTAAGGAGATGGCAGGGGCTGGCTTGCTGGGGTGGGACCCTGAAAGCTGGGGTGAGGCTTATGGTCCTGAGTTGGTGAGCTTTAGGAGATCGGCAGGAGAGTTATCAATGAGAAAGGTGGATGGCAGCCCACATAGTAATGGGGAATCATTAGACGGTGATAAATGTTCTCTTTTCTTTTGGAACAGGTCATTCAGATTCTAGGAGATAAATTTCCATGCACTTTGGTGGCACAGAAAATTGACCGTAGGTCTCCGTTTTGTTTTGTTTTTAAAAGATGGTTGGATTTCTCTGTATTCCTGTGACCTGACTCTGTGTGTCTGTTTCCCTGATAAGTGCCAGAGTACCAGGGTGAGCCGGATGAGATTTCCATACAGAAATGTCAGGAGGCAGCTCGCCAGGTACTTGCCCTGCCCTTGTCTCTTACTTGCTCCTCTTGTCCAGGTAGCTTCTGGGGCCTGTGCCTGCCAGAAACAACAGAGTAGGCACAGTTTGTTGAGCTTTCTAGGACACCTGCCCAGAGCCCTCTAGGGTTCAGTTAATATTGGCTTTGGAACACTGCCTGCCTTTGCCAGCCTTGAATACATGGTATCTCCCCCAGACCACCACCATACATACCCACATACACACAGACTCCCCTTCCCCCAAATGCTCAGACATGCATTCTAGCCCTACATCTTCCCCATGCACATCCACCGCTGCGTTCACACATCTTCGTGGAACTGAGAAAGCATGCCGTGGAGAGTCAGGCTGAGTGCAAATCCAGCTCTCCCACTGCTGTGCCTGGAGCAAGCTTTACAATCGGCCAAAGCTTTGGTATCCTCATCTCAAAGATGAAGATAAGAGATTGGCTGAGGGCAGCTCCCGTGGCTCTGCCTGCTGCAGATCTCAGCTAGCTGAGGGCTGGCCCCAGTCTGGGTGACCTGGGGGTTCCAGGTGGGGACAGTGTCACGGGTCTCAGGGCTGCATGTGTTTGTGCTGCAGGTACAGGGACCCGTGCTGGTTGAGGACACCTGTCTGTGTTTCAATGCCCTCGGAGGGCTCCCTGGCCCCTACATGTGAGTGTTCACCTCCACCCCCTTACAGGGCCCCAGGCCCAAAATCACTAGAACTGCAAAATGATTAGGTACCTGATACTGCAGGTCATTCACTGTCTTGGCATCAATAGCCTTTCACATTGTCCAGAGGAAAGACAGCATAGGAGAAGCATGTCTTTCTTTTGTAAAGTGTGAGAATGCAACCATGTAAGTGGAGATAGTAAAGGGGACCCCGCCCATTTGAGAAGTATATTCATAGGTAGATTAATTTCAGGAAAGAGAAAACAAGGAAGTTGGGATGTAAAACCTGATTTCTTTCTTTCCTTTTTTTTTTTTTGATACAATCTCTCTCTGTTACCCAGGCTAGAGTGCAGGCATGATCGTGGCTCACTGCGGTCTCCACCTCCTAGGCTCAGGTGATCCTCCCACCTCAGCCTCCTGGGTAGCTGGGACTACAGGTGCACGTCACCACACCAGCTGTTTTTTTTGCATTTATTTACTTTTGGTGTGTGAGACAGGATCTCAGTCTGTCGCTGAGGTAGGAGTGCAGTGGTGCAATCGCAGCTCACTCCCTGCCTCAGCCTCCCAAGTAGCTGGGACTACAGGCACATGCCCAGCTAGTTTTGTATTTTTTGTAGAGATGGGATTTCGCCATGTTGCCCAGGTTTTTCTCAAACTCCTGAGCTCAAGCGATCCACCTGCCTTAGCTTCCCAAAGTACTGAGACCTCACCTGGCCCTTGGAGGCATTCTTTTTCATTTCCCTTTGGCTGTCAATAGGGAACAACCTGGAAAAGGTGGTAAGGAGATCCAGCTGCTCCTGGTGTCTGACTCTCCTCTATTTCTCTTGTAGAAAGTGGTTTCTGGAGAAGTTAAAGCCTGAAGGTATTACCTGCTTTGTTTCTTCTGTGGATCTGTTGGGAATGAGAATCTGCGCTTGGTGTAGGGGAGGGGCCCCAATTAGTATTCAGGAGTCTCAGATTCTAGCTCCCACCATGGGAGCCTCCATCTCAGTTTCTCCATCTAGCACCTGCACTTACCCTAAACTCCAGAGAGCACTGCAGAGGGCAGGGATGGTGGGAGCTGTGGAGTTGAGGGACAGAGGGGCTATAGTTAATTCTGGGTTTCAAGAGGGACTTGGCCTTCCTGACTGCCTTAGCTAGGGCCTACCCTGGGAGTTGGAGGACTGCCCCTGGACCCCAGCAGTGCATATCCTTTCACCCACAGTTGCAGGCCAAAATGTTCCCTCTTTGTTATGCATTCATTCACTTATTTAGAGATGGAGTCTCACTTGTCACCCAGGCTGGAGTGCAGTGGCACAATCTTAGCACACTGCCACCTCCACCTCCCAGGTTCAAGCAATCCTCCGGCCTCAGCCTCCCAAGTAGCTGGGATTACAGGTATGCACCACCACACTAGCTATTTTTTGTATTTTTAGTAGAGATGGGGTTTTGCCATCTTGGCCAGACTGGTCTCAAACTCCTGACCTCAGGTGATCTGCCCACCTCTCAAAGTGCTGGGATTACAGGTATGAGCCACCACTCCCAGCCTATTTTATTTCTTTGAGACAGTGTCCCACTCTGTTGCCCAGGCTGGAGTGCAATGGTGCAATCTCAGCTCACTGCAGCCTCCGCCTCCTGAGTTCAATCCTCCTGCCTCAGCCTCCTGAGTAGCTGGGATTGCAGGTGCCCACCACCAGGCCTGGCTATTCTTGTATTTTTCTTTTTTCTTTTTTTTTGAGCCACTGCAACTGGTTTTTTAATTTTAATTTTTATTCGTTTTTAATTTTTTTTTTTTTTTTGAGACGGAGTTTTGCTGTTGTTGCCCAGGCTGGAGTGCAATGGCGCGATCTCGGCTCACCGCAACCTCCGCCTCCTGGGTTCAAGCAATTCTCCGGCCTCAGCCTCCCGAGTAGCTGGGACTACAGGCATGCACCATCATGCCCAGCTAATTTTTGTATTTTTAGTAGAGACGGGGTTTCACCTTGTTGACCAGGATGGTCTCGATCTCTTGACCTCGTGATCCACCCGCCTCAGCCTCCCAAAGTGCTGGGATTACAGGCTTGAGCCACCGCACCCGGCTTCGTTTTTAATTTTTTTTGGAGACAGAGTCTCTGTCTGTTGCCCAGGCTGGAGTGCAGTGGCTCAATCTCGGCTCACTGCCCACCTTCCAGGCTCAAGCAATCCTCCCACCCCAGCCTCCTGAGTAGCTGGGACTACAGGTGTAAGCCACCATGCCCAGCTAATTATTGCATTTTTTGTAGAGATGAGCTCTCGCTATGTTGCCCAGTCTGGTCTCAAAACTCCTGAGCTCAAGCGACCCATCCACCTTGGCCTCCCAAAGTGTTGGGATTACAGGTATAAGCCACCACGCCCAGCCGCTGTATTTCTTTTTTCTTTCTTTCTTTCTTTTTTTTTTTTTTTTAAGACTGATTCTCTCTCTGTTGCCCAGGCTGGAGAGCAGTGATGCCATCTTGGGTAACTAACCTCTGCCTCCCGGGTTCAAGCAATTCTGCCTCAGTCTCCAGAGTAGCTGGGACTACAGGCATATGCCACCATGCCTGGCTAATTTTTGTATTAGTTGAGATAGGGTTTCATCATATTGGCCAGGCTAGTCTCAAACTCCTGACCTCATGATCCACCCACCTTGGCCTCCCAATGTGTTGGGATTATAGGCGTGAGCCACCGTGCCTTGCCAGCCACTGGTTTTCTAAAATGTGAAAAATTTAGGGCTGGGCGTGGTGGCTCACCCCTGTAATCCCAGCAATCCGGGAGGCTGGGGTGGGTGGATTACCTGAGGTTGGGAGTTCGAGACCAGCCTGACCAACATGGAAAAACCCCGTCTCTACTAAAAATACAAAATTAGCCGGGTGTGGTGGCACATGCCAGTAGTCCCAGCTACTAGGGAGACTAAGGCAGGAGAATCATTTGAACTAGGAAGGCAGAAGTTGCAGTGAGCTGAGATCCCACCACTGGACTCCAGCCTGAGCGACAGAGTGAGACTCGGTCTCAAAAAAAAAAAAAAAAAAAAAGCCGGGCGCGGTGGCTCACGCCTATAATCCCAGCACTTTGGGAGGCCAAGATGGGTGGATCATGAGGTCAAGAGATCGAGACTATCCTGGTCAACATGGTGAAAGCCCGTCTCTTCTAAAAATACAAAAACTAGCTGGGCATGGTGGCGCACGCCTGTAATCCCAGCTACTCGGGAGGCTGAGGCAGGAGAATTGCTTGAACCCAGGAGACAGGTTTCGGTGAGCCGAGATCGCGCCATTGCACTCCAGCCTGGGTAACAAGAGCGAAACTCCGTCTCAAAAAAAAAAAAAAAAAAAAAAAATTCTGCATTGGCTAGTTTTCTGACTTTAAACAAAGCCTTGTGTCAGCCTGTGCCAGAGGGAAGCGAGGATGCCCAGAGACCTCCATTTCAAGCCTAGTCCCACTGCCGTGGGTCTGCCGCCCCTGTTACTACCCCAGTTGAGACCTAATTTCCCCGTTTAGGGAGTTCCTCCCTCCCCACCCTTGGGGGAGTGGGCTTCTGGGGAGTAGGGGTGGGAGCTGGCCAGCAAAGATGCACTGAGCTCTTACTGTACCCACCCACAGGTCTCCACCAGCTCCTGGCTGGGTTCGAGGACAAGTCAGCCTACGCGCTCTGCACATTTGCATTCAGCACCGGGGACCCGAGCCAGCCTGTGCGCCTGTTCAGGGGCCGGACCTTGGTGCGTACCCACCTTGATGTAGTTCCCGCCGCATGCCACCAGGGAGCGCCGCGACCCGAGGCGACTGCTCAGGGTCTGGGGACGTTGGTGGGAAGGGTGCCCTGGGGCCAGAGATAGTTATCCATGCCTTTCTGAGAGGCTCCCCTGGGCGGCACAGGTAGTAGGGCTGTCAGTCCTAGAAGAGTGGTGGAAAGGGTACCCTGGGGCCAGAGTACCTAATGCCATGCTGAGGGGCACCTCTGGGCGGGACAATGAGAAGTGTCCTCAATTCTGAAACCTGTTTTACCCCTGAGGCCTGATAGACTCAAAAGTGCAAACTGAAGGTGACAACTCCCAAAGCTATTCTTTTTCTATTTTTACATTTTTTATATTGTTTTGTTGTTAGTAAGAAACCACACTTGGATAAAAGCTACATCTATAGCCCAGACTTCTCCAAGCTCAGATCTCCTCATCCAACTGCCAAGGTGCTTGACTATCTCAGCCTTTCCAGCTTTTCATGTTCATCTATAATAGATTCTAAGCTCTTTTTAATTTATTTTTTGAGACAGAGTCTTGCTCTGTTGTCCAGGTTGGAGTACAGTGGCATCATCTTGACTCACTGCAACCTCCGCCTCCAGGGTTCAAGCATAGAATCTTAATTCTTAGCCAGGTTTGGTTAATTACCCCTGTTATCTCAGCACTTTGGGAGGCCCAGGTGGGAGGTTTTCTTGAGGCCAGGTGTTCAAGATCAGCCTGGGCACCATAACAAGACGCCATCTTTAAAAGAAAATTAAAAGTGAAATTTAAAAGAAAATTAAGGCCGGGCGCGGTGGCTCACGCCTGTAATCCCAGCACTTTGGGAGGCCCAGGCAGGTGTATCACGAGGTCAAGAGATCGAGACCATCCTGGTCAACATGGTGAAACCCCGTCTCTACTAAAAATACAAAAAATCAGCTGGACATGGTGGCGTGTGCCTGTAATCCCAGCTACTCAGGAGGCTGAGGCAGG